CTGAGAGCAGAAAAGGTTAAGCCTGAAGTTTAGGCTTTGCAGCTCTTAATACCACACCAAGATACAGCATCTACTTTTAATGCACTGCAAAGTGAAACTGATCTCCCAGACGCCACGGGAACATCATGAAAATGTGTTGCCCGGCTGTGTCAAGAGTCTCTGCCTTTTTTTTTCCAATGAAACAGTTTCTGCTACTTAGCGTCTGTAAATGCGTTCAAATGATGCAGCTAGAGGTCTGAAGAAAACACTCCCAGTGCTGTATGATGTCAGTCTCACCCGCTCTGAAGCCTCCTTCCACACACTGGCAGACACTCCTCTGTCACTACAAAAGCCCTAATTGGATTAAACAACTTTTCCACATCACCAGAAAATGCTGTGACCCATGGGATCACAAATCAATCCAAGAAAGACAGACAGGAAAAAAAATGTTCAGCTTTGTGGAAATCACATAGAAACCAGTGGATGAGTGACTGGTTTCTAAGATTATTAACAATACAATTATATATTTGAGACCAAACACATCATTTCAGTGTGTTTTTTTTTTCTTTAGGGCTACTTTTTTATTGCCACATCCCTCATGTCTTTTCACCATCACACCAGTATAAAAGTAATTTTTCCCATATCGGCGTGTGTTGTGACCTTATCACACTGTGATGTCTTTATCCCTGAAGGGGTCACAAAATAGTGCTTTCCCAGAGCAAGAGTAAGGTTACTGGATGATATCCTGTGAAATAAACATCGAATGTGTGTGTAAAAATGATAAATATCGTATAATGCCATTTTTTCCTAAGCCTAGATAAATCAGTAGAATTGGTTTTGTGGCGGTTGTACCGTCCGTTGTGCTTGCGCAAAACGGTGCGTAATGGTAAAATGCAATGGCTCGGATACACGGTAAAAATGTTAACAAAATAAAAAAAACTTCGATAAACTTACCCTAATTCGTGGTTTTCTTGCTTGTTGTTGTGTTTTCATCTCCTTTTGTATGAAATAAAACTGCAGTACAGCAGGAGAAGCGGTCAGGGAATCCCTGCAGTCGTCGCCTTCTTTTTCGCGCCTCACGAAATACAGAGAGGTTGACGCGGTGCAGCCGTGGAGCTGTTGGCGCTGGGAATGTTAGTTCTACTTTAAGGGATTAGATGAAGGATGGAGAAGAGGACAGAATGTGGACGTCACCCTGGAAGTACAGGTGCTCCACGTACTGGTGCGTGCGCTCTCGTGTGTCCGAAGAAGAGAAGCGACTCCCGGCAGCGTTGACTCTCATGTCCCAAGACGCAGCGAGAGAGAGCGTGTGCTCTGTCCCAAAGTTCAAACACCGTAAAAGTGTAGAAAAGGTGAGTCGTAGATGTTCATCTGAAGGGTTTGGATGTTACTTAACAGTATGTCCAATGGAAATTTAAAAGGTCCAATGAGGGACGCGGGCGCGTCCTGGTGCTGCTGCGGATGCGAATCGTTCTGCTGCGGGGTAAATCAGCAAAGACGTCAGCAAGACACAAGTTACAGGCAAATCTGCGTTAGTGGGAGGTTTTTCATAAGAGTGACACCAGTGAACACACACACACACCGTGAGAAAAGAGAGAGAGAGAGAGAGATGTTCCTTCCTCGTTAGGAAACCACACTGACTACATTACACTTATCCCTGACCCGTCAATTATTTACATCCTCTCTCTTCTTTATTAACACAGGCCTGAGGCCCAGCTGGTCCTGACACAGTCTGTGTTGTCTGCACTACATGTTAGGATGGGAAAATACTTCAAGTCATCGAAAAAAAAACCCTGACTTTTCCAGTACAAGTATACACACTAAGCCTAAGACTTACCACCTGTACCAAGTAGAATATTTCAAATTCAAACCAACACAAGGATATTAAACACCAACAAACAAGCATCGTAAACTGGAGTGAGAGAGGAGTCACACGGTGGTCACGTGGTTGTTGTCCTGCCTTACAGTGACAATGATACCAGTTGGATCCCAGTTGTTAACCTGTGGTC